CAAGGTATTTGAACACTTATTAAATGAAATTAGGGCAGGATGCATGAACACTCGAAGCGCTAGAGCGGGTGTATGCAAAGACCTGCAGGAGTGAGAGGTCATGGCTTATTCCAGTGAGTGTTTGGAGATGGGACAGCTTAGGAACTGGCAGAGGGAGTTGGTGTATTTGGTATGCCATGTTAATAATTAGAATCTTTACTGAAGGCAATAGGAAGACACTGAAGAATTTTAAGAAGGGAGTAAGAAGAGTTCACAGCAAGGAGAGAGGAAGGTCATAAGCCCAGAAAAACAGATCTGGGGGAAAACACTTCAGACTAGTCATTCATTTAACAATAAGCTAAAGAAAGAACTTAAAAGTCAGCTAATAGTATAGAAGCCAGATAAGAAATATTTGTTTAAGTTTGCCAGCTCTAATGTGTATTTAACCTAGATGGTTTAAACGTAGTGTCTCTGAAGACATTACTTGGATGACAAGTAAGGTAATTCATTACTGAAGTCATTTGTTAAAGTTTCTAATAAAGCACTTGTGACAGTTCGCTGTTAGAGATCAATAGTCAAGTTAAAGAATAACTGGTAGTAGAAATAATAACTGCTGGCAGAAATAACTGAGTAGACACCCAGGTGACAAAGCGAAAATGTAAATGTGTTAAGAGAAAATGACCTTAATAAAACTCAGATGGGGAAGCCGAGGAACAATTTTACTCATGAATACACTTTTGTAAAATTTATTGGGCAAACACACCAAACAAATAATAAAAAAAGATTTTTAAAACAAAACCAAACCAAGAATTTGGCATTTTCTTAATTATATCAACATCCTATTATAGAGGCCAATAATGTGGAGTGAATTAATCAAAATCTGAAGAAGGGCAATTTAGATAACTTGGACAAATAACATTATTAATTTGGTGTAAGCAAATCAATTTGAATTAGTCTAGCTAGAAAGCATAATCATGCTAAATCTGATATAATTATACTGCAAGTTGATTTGAAGCAAAGTTTAATTATTTCAAGAAAAGAAATTATTGAAATCGAGACCTAATATAAACTTGTTTGTTTTTACTGAATGTTAGACTGAATAACCAAAGATAATATACAGTATATATCAAAGGTTCTTTTTGTTTTAATACTACTCTACCTCCCAAGAAGGATAAGTTCTAATAAATCTTTCAAACAAAAAAATGGGAGGTGGGGGGGAGGGGGGAGGGGAGAAATCACTCTTGAAACATAAACAAAGTCCTTAAAATTGCACACAGTCAAGTTAACACCATTTCCAAGTGTAAGCAGATACTGCGTTCCCCAATAAAGAGTTTACTATTAGGGATATTTTCAAAAGCAAGACACTTGGCGTAAACAGCGAAACAAAGGAGAACTATTTTATTCAAAGGCCTGTGCACATATGGAACCTATTAAGGAGATGGTGGCTGTAGAAAGAACTACAAACGAGTGTAAGAGACACCTAGGCTGTCTCTGAAAGGAAGGGATGGAGGCAAGGGTGGTTACAAAAGCAGAAAGTGGGCCAGAGATCAGTCAGATGGGAGGGAGACAGGCTGTGGGCAGATGGTCTCTTTTATTCCAAAATGTTCAAAGTTAAGGGACACTCCTTACTACACTTTTATTTTACACAAAGAGTGAATTAAGAAGAAACCAAGGGCCTGTCAGTTTTTTCTGGAGTTACTTGTGTCATTTCTTTGATAAACTTTGCTTGTTTATGGAATTCATTCATTGCCTTCTTCAAACTGAGGTCCTCACTTGGTGCTCTCTCCATAACCCTTAGGTTTCAATTAAAAATATGAACTAATTTATAGTAAGGTTTCTGTTTATGTTATACAATTATCTATGTTAGGTTAACTTATCTTCCTCTGAAAATTTCTGGGGAAGGTCAATAGTTCTCTTCCGAAAAGTGCAATGCACACTTATTTATCAAGTGTAGGACAAGATTAGACAATGGAAATGGTAAATTTTTTTTCCCACAGTTTTCACAATCCATTAAAAATTAACAGACATAGATGAAAAAAAAATTGTTGAGTTTGCTCGCTTCAGCATAGTGGAATAATGACAGCTGATGAGCTAAGCTCACCTGAATGGCACCTAACAGGGAAAAGAAATCCCCTAAGATAATTTACAGAGTTTACAGATATAAACGGATATTCAATCTCATTAACCAGTCTCACAGGGGGTATAGGGCCTTATCCTAGACATCGTGAGAAACAGAAAGTAAGCAAGACAACCACCTCTTTGAAGAGTTGAACTGCTAATGGAGAGACCAGAATAAACATTTAGTAACACACAAAAATACTAAGAACAAAAAACATGCAAATCAATTCCATATAACCAATGACAGATTGCGAACAGTCAGGTTTGGCCCAATCAGGTCAGTACACAGCAAACGACAGGCTTCACATATGCTCCACCTGGCCAGATGCAGCTGCTCTAGGCTGAGGGCTGGCACATACAGGTACACTTTGAAATACGTAATGGTCAGGGCACCGTTAAGTACCGGTTGGAATTGGCCACCGGAGTCCTTGGCATTCTAGCTTCTGACACGCAGTTGAGAGCACACAAGGACCTGTGTTTTTCACTGGGCTATTTATAAGGGGAAGTTTGTGGGTGGAAAACTGAATGGTGGGTATCCTAGAAACCCAATTTATCCCACAAGAAAGAAGTATGCATTCAACAAGAGAAACCTCATTAAATGTCTATACTATATAACATGCATTAACATAACATAAATTATAAAAACAGTTTTACTATCTATAGTACACAAAAGAAAGCCTTCTAATTTGTATTTTCACTTATAAATGAATAAAAAACATCTCATGGGACCGGCCAAGTGGTGCATTTGTTAAGAGCTGGCTTGGGAAGCCAAATCTGAGCAGCAGGGCCCTGGTTCGGATCCCACATGAGGGCCAGTGACACTGCCCTCTACAGCTAAGATACTGAATAACAGCTCAACCTGGAGCTGGGCTGCCGTGAGTCGCCGGCGATGGCGTAGGCTGCAGCAGAGCTGCAGTGGGCTGCTGTGAGTGGCTGGCAGCCAGTGTGAGCAGCTGGCAGCAGCTGGCAGCTGCTGTGAATTGCCATGAGTGGCCGTCCAATGGCCGGCGACCAACTGCCTCACCTGGGAAGAGCACAATGATAATACCAACATGGGCCAGTGAAGCAACGTCCTCCACAACTAGACTGAAGAACAAAAGGACAGCAACTTGTCTGTTCCTCTTCCCCCAATTCCCCAACGCTGTTCCCCTCCCCCAATTCCCCAATAAAATCTTTCAAAAAACAAAAAACAAACTCATTTTTCTTCAATTAAAATTACTATATAAGGATTTAGGCCATACTGACCACTATTAATCTAATTGACCAAATTTATCCCCCTTAGGGATAGCAAAATAAAAAAAGAATAATACAGATGCAACAATTGCAGATATACCATCTAGCTAGGACAATTAGAGGGAAAGAGACTATTGATCCAGAGGGTGTGGTTCATATGCCTTACTGGAAATATATTTTATGAACAATCTACTTTCTCTATCTTTTTCTGAATCTTGTCAAAGAGCCTACTTATGAACTCGAATGACAAACCTTGCTGATTAAATATAAAGAGCGATGACAGACAGAAGGCAAGCCAAGCTTTATATCAGGGCTGCTAAAGGCAAAATGTGATGAGGATACTCTTTAAAGTCAAAGAGGTACCAGTCAGAAGAAGGTCTGTGGCTTCGGAGACAGGCCTGAGTTCAAATACTGGCTTCACCACATTAATAGCATTGTGACTCTGGGCAAATTTCTCAGCCTACTGACCTTTTCTTTCTCTACCTGTAAAACAACCTGACGCCTCCCTGAAAGGTTATTGTGGGCAATAAACAAATGCAAAGTGCCTAGTACAGCGACTGACACAAATGGAATGAACGTTCTGTCCACAGGACTACTAAGCTTTCCTGAACAGACAAGAGTAGAACTTTCCAGGAACAGAGATTACTCTGGCATCTGTTCAAGGATGAGCTTTACATTTTGCCAAACTCATTAAATCTAGATGAGTAGCAGGTCATGAATGAAATTTAAGCCACCAAGTAATTCACACACACAAAAAGCCTAAAAACTATTTTTAATTTTTCTTCTTATCTTATTTAGAATTTAATTTACACTTGCTGTCCAGCCCAGTAGATCCCAACTTTGTCCTCAGTTTAGAATCATCTGGGGAACACTTAGAAAGTATAGCTGCTAAAGGTTTTTATCTCCTGGATTTGAGCTGAGGCCTAGGCACCAGTTGTTTAATTATACACTCCTGGTGATTCCAACAAACAGCCAGGGTTTAGAAACGCTAGTATAGCTAACACACTTGAACTGTTTCTACAAAATTAGACTCGTGTATTGATTTACCAGTAGTGACTCAAAATGGCTTTGCCCATCCTCACTTAAGAACTTTACTCTCTCCTAATAAAGGTTATGGCCAGTATTACCAAATCACTCCTTTCATTAAGTAGAGAAAGCTAAAAAAACATAATTAGTCAATAGAGTGTAAATGGAAGGAAATTCACAAGATCAAAATTCAACGACCCTTTTTAAGATGAAAAAAATGAGCAATTTTGCTTGGATAAAAATGAGCCATGTCTTATAGCAGACTTCCAGTGAGATTATGTCAGAGGGAATGTTATATTTTTTAAAGGCCTTTTTTTAATTTTTTTTTTACAATTATTCTTTTCTGTTTCACTTTGAAGCAATACTAAGCAAAGACAACTATCTGAAAGACAGACCTGAGGCAATTCTGATTATGTGGTTTTTCAGTTCAGTAGAAATCACTCCTCTTATAAGGAAAGCCAGAGATTGGAGCACTGGTTGTTGGATCAGTTCAAACAGAGCCCTGTTGTAACCCCCTCTATATCACTGAGTCACCATGAGTAAGTCACTTAGCAGGTTTCCAGTCTAAGGTACCCTCCACACCATATGATCAGCACATGACACTGAGATCCTAGAGCTGGTTATCATTTCCATCAGCAACTTACCAGGGTGCTTCCATCGGTCCAACGGAAGTCGTGCTCAAACATCTTGTCATTGAGGCCTATCCACTGGTAATCATGGCCCAAACCTAAAAGATGGTAAACAACACAGATATTTTTATTCCCTTTCCCACAGATGGGTAAAACTGTATCAAAAAATGATTTTCACAGGGTATCATGCATCCTCTTTTCTGGCTAGGTTTTTTTGTTCAGTTGTTCATAAAAATCTTTCATTGCCTAACTGGCTTTTGTTCTATTGTCCAATGTGCTTTAAACGGAAAAGTTAATTTGCAAACTTTGTGAAACATTAAAATATCAGATACAGACAGTTATTTTCCTAGCGGTTTACTACAATTAATTTTTTTCCATCCTTATTCATGATAGAAACTTTCCATTTATTATTATTTTTTATGAAGCTATGCCATTGGCAAAAATTCAGTGACCCAATAGGACGTGACAGATCTTACCCATGGGAGCCTCACTTTGGAAGCCACATGTTTCTTCTCAAACCATTTTAAACAGTGAACACCTAGACCAGACAATTCTGCAAAATTTTCTCAAACATAATTACTTTCACTGTGAGATGAGTCACTGGCAAGCATACTATGCAAAAAAGTGAAATGAACTTCTATCCAGGCTGCAAATTAACAATTGAATTTCTAAAAGATAGCAGGCATCAAGAGTACATATTTAACTGAGCATCAAACAATGCTTCATAAGCAAAAATATTCTATGTATTTGCTACATAAAAGCTAGCTGTCCTCCTCTTTACTATGGTTTAAGGAGTTATTAAACAACTCTCGTAGTAAGTTTCGTTAGCATTCAGTCTTCATCTATTCGTGATCTTACTATGAAGCCCACTTTCTATGGTCTAAAGTAATTAGAAACGCTAATGAGAACCAATTATGTAGATAGGATAAGAATAAGGTGCTATTAATTCAATTTTAATTAGCAGGATAAAAATAACAATATTCTCTTTAACTTTAGAGAACATATGAATATATTCAAAATAGGGTACCATGAGAAGAATTAGAATGAACCACACGAGGTGGACTTTTTTCTAAGTCAAAAAATGATCCAATAGTAATTTCAGGTGATTCAACCTACAGCATGCTGTTTCTCCTATTATTGCTGACTGACCAAGAAATGCCTTCCTGTGTTATGATTGAATATTTCCCCAAAGGGGGAACTCATATAGGAGAGATGATTTTGAGTAGTTCACAGGTGAGGGATTTAATAAGTTGAATCACAACTGAGAAAGCTACTCTTTATTTAGTTAGAGAGAATGGTAAGCAGGTGGTGAGAATGAGTGAAACTTCAGGAAACCAGTGTATATCTGGTACATACGATTCACAAACATTTGTTCTTCATGAGAGAGGATGCTTGTGAGATGGGCACCCTGAAGACGGCATTCCCGTTCGGCTGCATCCCATGTGCGTCGATGGGCAAAGTATTTGTAGCACTGCCCTTGGAATTTGTGCCAGCCGTAGTCACAGGTCTCGGTGTCTGAAGAAAGAAGGCAGAGGCTTATTAAACTCACCTACGTCACTCAAACTTGGCTCATCCCTCCGAGTGTTAACAGAAGACCCAAGCCAATATCAGTGCAATGTTCCTGAAGTAAAGCGTTCATAATATTTGGACATGATGACAAATAAATTATGATAAAGAGAGCTAGACTGATTCCTGCCAAGTGGGTTCTCCAATAGGGTTATGTTGTTTCCTTCAACTCCCTTTTGTTGTAACATTGATGAAAGGAACTTAAGGTTTGTATCAATTAGCCCATGGTTAGATACAGGCTTGCTTGAGAGACTTAACTGAAACAAAGACTGTTCCACTCAGCCATACATATATGATATAGGTGTGTGTGTGTGTGTGTGTGTGTGTGTGTGTGTGTGTGTGTAATGTTTCTCTTTCACAATAAGTATACTGTAACCAGTATCCAGGTGGCACGAAAACATTTTTTCCAATATACCTAATTTCACACTGGCAGTGTGTTTCAGGTATACTTTCTAGATTGTCAGTTTTTAATGTATTTTCACAGGAAAGCAGCCTTACTCATAGCACTGCATTCTCGGTGGTAATCTTCCCTCAGGCTCACCCACTCTTAACTGGGGTTCAACTTTATGTATTTAATAATAACTAATAGAAATAATTTTGAGTTTCACAAAAATATTTCTCACAAATATATTTAACTAGCTACACGTAAAAACTAACAAAACTGTGAAGTTCATAGAATTTTAAGCACCAAGAAAACTTTCCAGATTACCTAATGGCCATCTGTTCCTTCCCTAATTTTACTGATCAATGAAGAAAACAAAACCCTACTACATGAAATAAACACTTGCTTTATATGTCAGACTTGGTGGCCAAATTGAAAGTCAAATTGTCTCTCGACTCACTCTGTCTACTCCTCTTTCTGTAATTGTGTAAAAGTATGCATTCTAAGAGATTTAATTTTTCTCTGGCTTCAGTGATTTATACTATAATCATGCAACAGATGCAACTTATCTCTGAGAGCAGTCTTTATTTCAGTTTAGTCTATCAGGTCCGTTGTTTAGTTACAGCCAGCTGACTAATTGGTTTAAATAATGTGCGCTGGAGGTTTTGAGTTTTATTGGTGTTGTTTGGAGACCACCAAATCTCAAAGGAAAGGATTCAAGACACAGCTAGAAGATTTGGTATAAAAGTGGCACTCAGTTCCCAACAATGAAGCCTATTTTTGTTACTTGGATGTGGTAATTTTCGTGTTGGGAAGTTCTCATGGAAGAATTCAGAGGTGAGGTGCGAGTGGTGGAGAAGAAAACAGATCCTCATATATGAGGGGGTTAGTTTATTTGGGAGGAGAATTGGGAAAAAATTTAGAATACTCTTACTGCCAAAGTTAATAGTGCACAATAGCATAGATTTAATTATAACAGCATAGATTTCCTTAACCTGGAAATTCTTGCTTATTTTAAGACAGAGTTTAAAATTCTCAAGGATCCCTAATTTAATGAGTAATACATCCAAAAAAATTCTTATATACACTATTTATTATTAACCCAAATGGTTATAGTTTGGTTTTCTTTGTCTTTTATTATCAAAATAGATTATTATTAAGTGTTTTTCCTCTTACACACAGGAAAAAACCCTCAAATGATCATAAAATTTAGATGCATGACCATGTCACTGCTACAATGTCTTTCTCAGTTAGCAAGTGCATATATTCGTTCTTATCAGAACATAGTTCGAAAAATAGGGACAGAGTTTCTGTGAGAACTAAACAGGGACAATTTACATATATGTACTATATAAACATAGCTTCCCAATGATTATAACTACATGTGCAGATACCACTTAACAAAGTGACTTAAATAAAGCCAAATATCCACACTAATTTACTTAATTTTTATTACTCATGAATTCAATAAATATTTAAGGAAGGACTACATGTCAAGCAGCATTTCCTAGGATACTCTTCGAAACAAGATATCAGAAACGGTCTATTTGCTTTTCCAATTTTACCTAAAAGTAATGCAATATACATTTCATTTATTAAAAACCAACCCTTTTGGATGGTATTTTCTTAAAAAATCATCTTACATATGGAAATACTTCTTATGCTTTAAAACTCCCATAGTGCATAGGTTTTATTACAAAGTCTCAGATCTAGCTTTGCCTGTGTGTGTCGGGGTGGGGTGGGGTGGGGGAGGACACAACAACTCCTGTTCAGGACCACAGAAAACCAACCAACACTTTTAAAAAATTTCACTAAAAATCTATTCTCTTTATGATAGGCAGGCAATGTTTTCAACATCTCTGACAAACAGCCGTCAAGCCTTAAGAAATTGCCAATACTTAGGGACTTCTCACTGGCAATCGGTATCATTGACATGGGCTAGGAGCAATCGTGTACAGAACTGTCTCCCTACCATTCACAGACCCCCTTCTAGATTTCGTATCTATTATCATTTCACCAAAATGTGGCCTTATTCCAGAGTTCCTGAGAGTTGGGATGTTACTAATGCAGAGAACAGAAAAGGTCAGCTGAAGAAACAACACAGTCATCACCAAAATTTGGATAGAAAACTGTTTAGAGAACAATGCTGCTGTTAATGAAGAAAACATTTGCTCTCAGGCAACCTGAAAAGGGGAGAAAAAAATCTTTCAGTGTCCTGGCAATAAATCACAGGAGCACAGCTGCATCTGGTGGACAGACTCTGATGGCTCTTTCTCAGTAAATAATGTGGATGGAAGTTAAACTTTCTGTAATATAATGTAGAATGTACCTGAAAGTTAGATGACACCAGAAATGAGAGAAAAAAATCAAAACCTTTTCTTTGTAATATTCCTTTAAAGCAGCAGTTCTCAACCTTTCACAGAGGTCGCCTAAGACCATTGGAAAACACATATCTTTGATGGTCTTAGGAACCGAGACGCCGCTCCTCTATCCGTCTCCAGGCCCACATGCACATACGCCCACATATGAGTACCCAGCGACCCCTGTGAAAGGGGCGTTCGACCCCCAAAGGGGTCGCGACCCACAGGTTGAGAACCGCTGCTTTAAAGGGATGGAAAAGGTAACTGGCCGCAAAGTTCCTCCCAGGGATCTATTATCACTGGATCCATCAGGTTCATCCATACAGAAAATGCTTATCTGTGAGAGTTACTTTAGAAGTGTAAAGGTACTGAGAAAAACCTGGGCTTTAAATGGCAGCATAGGTTCATTTTTCCTACTCTCTGATTTACTAGCTGTGTGACTTTGAACACACAGCTTTTTCTCTCCAAGCCTCAATTTCTGGCCTCCTTAAGGCACAGAAATACTATGTCAACCAAAGGAAATAGTATATGTGGAAGTGTTTGATAAACTATAACATGGCCAACAAATAATATCTCTTTTAACTCTCTGCCAAGAACTATGGTGAGTCACCAAGATCAGGGACCTGGTCTGCTTTGTTCAGAGTTCTATCTTCAGTGCCCAGGACAGAGCCTGGAAGGAAGTAGGTACTCGATAAACACCTGTTGAACAAATGATTTTTTTAATTGCTCCTTATACTTGGAACGAAGGGAAGCCAGAATCAGAGAAACATACTTTAATAGCTCATGTTTTCTTCAACAAATAGCATCTTTCGCACTGTTTCCCTTTAAAAAGAGGATTTTGATTGGTCAATTTTCATATTTACCTTTTAAAATTCTAAAACAAACTGACTCATCCTACGCAATAAAGAGAAAGGAGAAAACCCCCAAAAACTTAGCCATCACCCATTCCCTCTGACTGGCAGTTGAATACACACTCCTTTTACTTTTGCTTTAATTGTGGTGATGTCTGGATTAATGCTGAAAAGCAGAATGCAGGGCCAGACCAATGTTGCTGAGTGTCTAACACATTTTCATTTTGTCTGGTGGAATGGAAGTTTGGCAGTAGGCACTTTTGTCGAAGCCAAACCACTGTATGACTTTAAGTAGAGGAAATCTATGTTCCAAAGCTTAGTGTGCTGAGCATGCAATCTGTATCTGATTGATGGACTAAGAAATGTTACCATTAACCATCTAATATACACTCTCAGGTTGGCCATAAAATACAAATTACAGGGATCACGAGATTCAAGCCTCATGAACATACACCTTTCTTTCATTCAGAAAAAGTAAATGCTTCTTCAGTAGGAAAATTCCCTGTTGAGCAGATTCACAATATCTTTTACATAGTGTGTGCCAAGCCTAAGCTAATGTATTCTAACAACTATATCAACTCATTCACCAGAGATGATTGGCTATGAAAAATAAGACCCTTGAGTCTCAAATGCTTAAGGGGAGAAAAATAAAGGCAACTGACATTGAATTCAATACTCCTTGGTACAA